AAAACAGCATGGTACTGGCAAAGAAACAGACCTGAGGACCAGTGGAACAGATTAGAAGATGCAGAAACAACTCCAGACACACTGAGCCACCTCATCTTTGACAAAGGAGCCAAACACCCTCACTGGAGGAAAGATAGTCTCTTTAATAAATGGTGCTGGTGAAATTGGGTTTCAACTTGCCAAAGATTAAATGTACATTATTTTAAACTGCAAAGGTAGCTGTGTATGGTGCTACGTGCCTGTAATCCCAGCATTCTAGAGGCTGAGGCAGGAGGTCATAAGTTTGAGCTCATCCTGGGCAACTTGGCAACTTAGTGAGACCCTTTCTCAAAATAAAAAATAAAATAAAATAAGAAGTGTTAAGGATGTAGCTCAGTGAGAAAGCTCTGAGTGCAATTACCAGTATTGCAAAATAAACTACAAAGGTTTATGGTAATGTATTACAGAGCAATGAAAATACATTCTGCAACCCTCACAACAAACTCAGTTCCCAAGTCCATTGGGCAGTATGCCACCGTGTCCACGACTGCCTAGGATGGTGGTCAGTTGGAATTTTTAGGTAGAAAGCTAAGCTTCATATGGCTGGGAGAGGCCAGCCCAGGAAGGGGAAGGTGTGCCCAGGCCTGATGTGAGCTTGTGCCCAACACGCTCCATGGTGGTAGGAGGTCGTGGGTTGGATCAGGTGCCCCCCGGGACACATAGAGATGAAATCAGAGGGATGAGAGGGATCCGACCAAGCAGGGTCCAAGAGGTGAATTTAGATCTTTGGTTTTTGGTCTGGAGGGCCCAGACCAGAGCAGTGACACCATTCCACTCATACTTAGTGCCCTCCTTCCTGCTAGCAGTAACTGGGGAATAGAATTTAATAATAGTAATCACTAGTAATATCAGGCCACTGACAGCTGCGAACCAGGCTTTATGGAGCATCACTTCCCTGGACTAACGGCGTTCATGTGATGGTCACGAACAGCCCCATGTGTCAGTGGGGAAACACAAAGCCGCCCACTGCTGAACACAGTGAGTGAGTTCAGGCCCTGGGCTATGTGAAAAGATTCCCAGCATTACTGGTCATCGGAAATGTGCAAATCAAACCAGGAAGAACCATCTTCCACCCTTAGGATGGCCATCTTCAGATGCACAGGAGTGAGTTGTTGGTCAGGGGTTGGGGCAAAGGGACCCTTGTGGGCTGTTGGGGGGAATGTAAATTAATGCAGCTCTTACAGAAAACAATATGGAGATTCCTCAAAAAATTAAAACTAGAACTACCATATGATCCAGAGATTCTACTTCTAGGTACAGAGACAAAGGAAATATAATCAGTGTGCTGAAGACTTACACATACTCTCGTGTTCCTGGCAGCATTATTTGCAATAACCCAGATTTGCAAGGCTTGGAATCAACAGATTAATGGATAAAAAACGTGTTGTATGTACATGGTAGAATATTACTCAGCCCTAAAAAATAAAGAAACCCTATCTTTTGCAGCAACGTGAACGAACTCAAAGACACTGTGTCAAGTGAAATCAGTCAAGCGTGGAACAACAAATACCACATGATTTATATGTGGAGGCTAATGAACTGACTCAGAACCACAGTGGATTGGTGGCTGGGGAATGAGAAACCGTGGTCAAAAGGTACAGAGGAGGGCCGGGGATTTAGCTCAGTGGTTCCACCGCCTGCCCTGCAAGTGCAAGGACCCAAGTTCAATCCCCGGTACCGAAAAGAACATAAGGTACAGAGTCTCAGTTAGACAGGAGATATGTTTTCATGATTTACCCCTCAGCATGGTGACCATAGTTAATAAAAATGAGTGGGATATTTCAAAATTATTAAGGGTCGATTTTAAGTGTTCTCACTGCAACAACAACAAAAAAGCTAAGTAGGTGAGGTGGTGGATGTATTAATTACTTTGTGTTAATCTTCCTACAGTGTCTACATGTATCAAAATGACACTGTGCCCTATGAATGTACAATTATTATTTGTCAAGTAAAAATCGATTAATTCAGCAAATTTAAAAATAAATAAAATTACCCCCAAAAGGGTTAAACATGGACTAATTAGCAAAGAAACTAAAGTACTCCTCTTCAAAACAATCCTTCTGCCAGATCAACCATACTGAGTGCTCGCGACTCCTCCTTTGATTCCTTCTTTTCCCTGAGTAGGAGTTATTGTCTTTAAGACTCTTGGGAATTTTTCAGTGAGTTCCCTGGAAGGAAAAAGGGTCTAAGTTACTTCTGAGGCCCAAAGCTTCAGTTTTTCTTAAAAGTACAATTTTAACTTTCTACCTATCTTAATTCCTTCTGTCTTATCTCCCCAGCCCCCAGACTCGATCCTTTATTCTAAGGCAGGTGGGAGCCATCTTCTTACAGCTGCTGCAGGATGGGGCCTGACCCTGTCTCCCAGGGGTCCTCTGAGGACCCTAAGTATGGCAGTGTCAGACCCACCCCTGCTGATGTGGCTCCTCCTTACCGCAGGGCCAGTGGGGCAGGGGGTCAACACAGCCGGGGCCCCAACACGGGCGCTTTGAAGACTGGATTCAACACCTCCTCCCACACAAAGGGCACAACTGGGGCTGCAGTTTCCACGACGACGCTCCGGCTCATCCTACGAATCATGCAGCATAAGATAATTGCAAAGTTATCACACAGAGTTGTGATTGTATTATAATCATTATTTGGGGGGAATTAAAATCCGAACCTACTTTTGAAGGTCTTCCAGGTAATTTATTCCAGTATTCCACAGAGTAAAATATGTGCTTTAGAGTAGCTGAGAAAAAAGGGAACAGGATTTAATAGCATCTAATAGCATCTCCAACACTGTTGATTTGGCCAGTGCTAGGGAGTCCGTGTGTCCCACCCACCCCGTGCACAGAGCCTCAGTCCTGCAGCGGAGTAGGAGCTGGGCCGGGGGAGGGCTGGGCCCTGGGGTGGAGCCATCAGTGCCTCAGGGCCTCCCCTGCAGGAAGGGTCCGTTACCCTGGAGTTTGTCCCCTTTCTCTTTTTCATTCACCCTCCCCCCCACTTGCCTCTCTGCCTCCCTGCCTCACTAAGGTGCAGAATGTGGCCTTCACCAGATGCAGCCATTTGGATTTTTAATCTCCAGAACCAGGAGCTAAAATCACCCTCTTTCTTTATAACTCAACTAGCCTCGGGGGCCCTGTTACAGCAATGGAAAGCAGACTAAGACACCCACTCCAGCACTGCTCCAAACAGCAGCAAACAAACGCCACTGCCCGTCTTGGTACAGCGGACTCCCTCCACCACATCCACCATCACAGAAAATCCCCATTCCTGTGTGCTGGAGAGAGGTAAGAAGGTGGATTCTGGGAATGGTTCCCAAGTGACTTCACACTGCCTCTGCCGAGGAGCCTGTCTGCTGAATATCACACATGCATCAGTGACCAGCCCTCTGCAGCCCTGTGAACACCCCTGGCTGGCGGAGGCTTGGCCTAGCCCGGACTGTGCATGTTTTCTTGGCTTTTCTGCCACTTGCAGGTGATGCTCCGGGAAGACTCTGAATTGCAAACTCCTCGCGTGTAGGCTCTGAGCCGGGGAGGGTGTGTGTGTGTGTGTGTGTGTGTGTGTGTGTAGCCCACGGCGAAGGCCGCAGTCGCATCTCCGTATTTTACAGATTTTTCACAAGAACAAAACGGGAACTGGGCCTGCCACCTCAGTGGGGAGGACTCTCTCGGGGGAAGCCGGTCTTACAGTGGAGTCAACCAAGGCGCAGGTTCTTGTCCCCCGGGGGATCAAGCAGCCGGGCGGGCGCCCCAGTGGGGCCTTTTTGAGGGGTGCGGGCCCCAGGCGAGGAGGAAAGTGGGGCAGCGGGGGGTGGAGGACGGGGTGGGGCGCAGGACCTGGGTGGGACCGGGGCCAGCGGGCAGCGGGGAAGGGAGCCCCATCCCACCGGCCTGCGACGGAGCAGGCGGCCTGGGCAGCCCACAGCCACCCCGGGCCTCACCGCCAGGGACAGCTCTGACCTCACCTGCACCCCGGGTCTGCTCCCCTGGGCCACTGCTCCCCGCCCCGCCGGGGCTCCTCCGTGCCCGGGGCTCGGGTTACTGAGTTCTTCCTGTGTGCGGGGCTTCAGGGCCAGCACAGATTGAACCGCCCCGGGGACTTCTGTTCTTCAGAGGGGGCCATGAGACAAGGGCGCCTGCCCAGAAGGACCCCAGGGCCGGGACTAGGTACCCAGAAGTGATGAGCAGCAAAGTCGAGAGACAGCACGGAGGAGGGACGTGGAAGGCGGAGGAGCAATTCTTGCGGGGAGCAGCAAGGTGGTAGGAAGGCAGGTGTGGCCAGAGCAGTGGCAGCCCCTGGGAGACCCGAGGTGCTGGGACAGGACTGTGGGCGGGGCCCCTCTGCCAGGCAGTGACCCGGGCTGCACACTCGTGATCACGTGGCTGGGCGCCCTCGCCTGACCTGGCCAGCCCGGGGAGGGCTTCCGGGGACCAAGGGTAACGCTGGTGCTCAGTGCCTGGCACGTCCTGTAGCAGTCGGCCACCCTGATGCAGGGCATGGGTGAGGAAATGCTCGGCGATCGATCTCCACGCCTCCTCACCACTCGGGTGATGGCTTCTTGGTCCCGGGTGCTGACTCCGCAGCCAAAATAATCACCGACAGCTGCTAGGGTTCTCGAGCAGACGCGCAATCTCCCTAGCAATCCCCGCAGTGCGGGTGCGGTTTCCATCCCGCGGGGAGCGCTGCCCCCCGGTGGCCAGGCGCGGGATAGCGGCGTGAGAGCGAGCTCCTTCCTGCGCGTGGGTGTGAGGCTGCCGTGCACACGCGTTTCTGTCCGCTGACACAGGTGAGCTTGGAACGGCTGGGCCCTGAAACTAAATTGATTCCGGACGCAGTGCCGTCGTGTTGAGTTATATTACACACTGTCACACGCATGTGCACACATGCTCACGTGCGTGCACACACACACATACACAAGGGGAGGGCTATGTGATCATTGTGACTCAAACCTGAGACCGCACGTTGGAAATTCGGCCGAAGAGATCTGGCTTTGGTGACAAGGAGAGCTTTTGTTATTTCTCTGGTATCTGAGTTTTGCGTTTGCGAGTGAGAGAAAACATTTACAAAGGTGATGATGAAATATATTTTAAAGGCAGCGCTGTGTGGTCGCCACCATTTGTAATCCAGGAACCCTGGGAGGCTGAGGCAGGAGGAGGCACATTGGAGTCCTGCTTAGGCAGCTTAGTGACTAAGCGAGACCTTGTCTAGGAATAAAAACATAAAAAGAGCTGAGACGTAGTTCAGTGCGAAGCTGGGGGTTCAGTCTTCAGTACCGCTGTACACGCATCTTTATATTCATAATATTCAAGTGCTTTTTTGGTCCCTGTTTTCTGATTTTTCTGTAGTATATTTCTGCATTTCTCACCTAACTTTCTTTGGCGAAACACAGACGTGTGCTCTATGGAAATTCCAGGATGTGGCGCCTTGGAAAGCATGCGTATTTTTGAACCAGAAGGGGAGATGATCCCTCGCATTGTCATTGGGCAGTCCAAGGCGCCTGCTGGCTTCCAGCGCTGCCCGAGGCGGGGACTTTGCCGGTCCTGGGGTGCAGGGGCGCAGCGGAGAGCAGTTACGGGCTCTCACACCGGCTGCTGGCCGAGGAGCTGGGGCTGGGCCTGGTGCCGCCTCTGGATGCTGAGCCAGCGAGGGCCGAGCAGCCGCTGAGCAGCCAGCCGCAGGCCGGCGGCCCTCAGCTCTGCAGGACTCTAGGACCGGGTGTGTGGTGGTGGTGGTGGTGGTGGGGTCTGCCTAGCCCGAGTGAAAACCAGCAAACCCAGTGTCCTTTCTGGTAAGCCCTAGTCCACTCCAGTCCATTCCCACCAAGCTCCGTTCGGGGAAATGCCGGTTTCCGTTGGGGCACCCAGGTGTCGCCGCCCCTGCTGCCCGAAGGCTGTTCAGTGGACACGCGGCGTGGCCCTGTGGTGGCCAATCTGAGTGCAGGGGTGGCGCAGAGCTCACCCCTGGGGCTGTCGCTTCTAGCTGGGAGAGGTGATCGGAGGGAGGACGACAGTCACCGAGGAACCAAACTTACCTCGGGAGCAAATCTGTAGGTCAGGCGGAGTTGGGAGACAGAAACTGATCCTGAGGTGGGGGAAACGAGAGGGTGCCGCGGTGCTGATTCCCTGCACTCCGAGGCAGCATGGGAGCAGCGCCCTGGGCCCCCTCACCCCTTGCCCTGGCCAGGACGCCCCGGGTAATAAAGTCAGAATCACACAAAAGCAGGCCGAGGGACGGTCTGCAGTGGAGGGTGGATGCGGAGGGCTGTGCGGGGCCTGGGGGAGGCGCAAGGCCGCGGCGGCCCCCAGGCAGGTTGACATGCAGGCAGGAGAAGCCGGCCCAGGGGAGGAGCAGCAGGCTCTCCGCGCCCAGGGGACGGCGGCCTGCGTGCTCAGCTGCCCACAGTGACTGCTGAGTGGCTTCTGCTCATCCCGCGTGGACCCCCAGGGAGACACCCGGGCAGTGCCTGGACAGCTCCCGACACGGACGCCCTGGATGGTTTGAGTCCATTCTGTTTCGCGTCCTGCAGACCGGAGCTCCTACTGGACGTGGTTCACACAGGGCTGCTGTCGAAAGCCCCGCCCTGGGTCCTCCTCTAACGTCCGGATGCCGCTGCCGGCCTCCTTCTGCACCTCGCGCATCCCGAACCCCTCGTACCGACGTCAGAGGCTGCTCAAACCCAGTGCAAACCCCACCCTCTTTGCAGGAAACCCACTCGCATCCCTAGATGGCTCTCGAGACCCAACTGAAGGAGATGCTGCGCAAACAGCTGTTAATGCTGCTCGGGAATCATGACGAGGGAGAGTGCGCATGTGCAGCGCAGGGGCCGCTTTTCTCGGAACTGCTTTCCGTCCTGGGCTGCGTGGCTGTAGGGCCGTGGGCTCCGTGGGTATGTGGAGCCCTCGGAACCTGGGGCACGATCCAAAGGAATGTGATTCGTGTCTTCCCCCAAATGCAGGTAGACACATCTTTAAAGACACCGTCTTCATTGTTTTGACTCGGCAGCCGTCACTGGGGCCAAAAGAGAGAGAAAAAGATGTAGAGCGTTTTAACCAGAACCCTACAGTCTCGAGGCGCGGTGGGGAGCAGGATTAGGGTCTTGGAAGCTCACCTCCCAGACTCACCCCGATTCTCCGCCCGGCTCGGTCTTAGTCCAGTCGAAACCGCAGCAACGGGGGCCCAGTCCCAGCGGACAGCATGGAGCTGTAGGCAGTAGTGTGAGGAAGTCCTCGCCACACCTATGGCTTTAAACTGCAGTGATCGATCAGGGGGGCTCTGATTTAGCCCTCAACTTTTCTGTGTCTGAACATGCGACCTAAATCACGTCTATTTTTAGCAGGATTAGGAAGATGAACTAAATCCCTCCAGGGCATAAGAAACCCACGCTGGAGGACACTTGCAAGATAAGTGTCTCTGGGATCGAAAAGGGCAGGGAGACATTCAGAGTCTGGAAGGCAGAGATACACCTGGGGAGTGAAGTCCGCGGTCTTTTCTGTAAGGCCCTGACCTAACCAATTCCTTTTCTGGACGTCCTCTAAAGTATTTGTGGGTTCCTCGGTCTCTCCGGGAATGGACGGTGCGAACCGCTTTCCTGTGTAGGGCCGAATGGGGTAGACAGAGGGAGGCACCCGGGCGGTGAGGGGGACCCCAGCCCCAGGACCGAGTTCATCACCAGGTGCTGAGTCCCACCACCAGAGGGCGCACGTCGCACACAGCAGAACGGTGGCCGTGGCTGCAGCGTAGAGGGAGGGCGGGGCATGTCGCTGACAG